GGGCCTCTCTCTCCAACTAGACCCTGATCTAAAGTGGAAGGCTCATATCTGCTTGGCCTCAAATCACCACTCTGCCTTGTTCATTCCTAGGTGCACAGTCTTGTCCAAACCACGCCAGGGGACAGGGGTTTAGGGCCCAGAAGGCAGAGCAGGTGGGTGGGTAGTGGCCCCCCAGTAAGGCTGGGATGTTTACATGGAGGCTCGGGCCCCTTGGCTGCTCTGTGCCAGGTTCCGGAGACTTGGAACATGAAGCCAGTGAGTGCGGCAGGGAGAGCCCCTGTGGAAAGCACCTGGCCCAGGTAATTGTCCCCCCGGGGAGGTTGACTGAGAAGAGGGGGAGGCAGGAAACTGAGGAGGAGTTGGGTGAGGGGCTGGGGCAGCAACGTTACTTTAGGAAGGCCCCACAGTCCCTCCAGGGGGACACAGCTGGCCTTCACATGCCATGTCCCCCCACCCCCAGCCCACCTCCACTGGCCAACTGCAACAAGACAGAATGCAGAGCCTGGCAGGGGCCATGCTCCAGCATCCCATTCTGAGTTGGGCCTTGACAGACTGTCCTTGCGCAGGGTGGTGTCTAGGAATTCTAGGACTTGGGACAAAAATGTGTCCCTTAGTCCATCATCCTCTCTTAGAGGGCCATGTCCGCGCATAATCCGGCCCTGGTCTTCGGGCTGGGTCTACTGGATGAGCGACAGGTGTTTTCCCCATGAATTTTGGGGTCTGCATCCTTTCTAAAGCCCTTTCAACCTCCTCCCTCCTCTCTCTCTGAAGTCAAAGGGAGGGGCAGTTCCAAGCACTGGGCTCCCTTGAGGTCCTTCCTCGACGGCCTTCCTCCCTTGGGGCCCTGCCTGCACAGTGAGCCTACTCGGCGTGCGGACCTGGGACCTAAGTCCAGTCAGTCCGCCCCGCGTGGGGAGAAAGGAGGTGAGTGGGGAGGGAGCGGCCGCCACCTGCACCTCCCCTACCTGCCAGGTGGGATCAGCGTGGCGGAAGTAGCAGAAGTTGTCCGTGATCCACTTGTAGATGGCCGACAGGGTGATCTTGGTGGCCTTGCTGGCCTGCATGGCCATGCAGATGAGCGTGGCGTAAGAGTAGGGCGGCTTCACACTCGGGTTGGTGGCGTAGTCCACGTCGTCGGGGGGCGGGGCCTGCAGCCCCGGGGGAGCGCTCCGCGATGTGCATGACGACGTGGGCTTACCCGGAGTGTGCGGCTGCCCCAGGCAGGCGGGATCGGCCGCCAGGGGCGACCCCGGCGCGACCGAGCCTGGCACCTGGTGATAGCCGTGGGGGTCGGTGCCCCCCGGCGGCAGGGCGGGGGCCTTGGCGTTGAGAATGGAGAATTCCTGCAGCCACTGCAGGCTGGTCAGGCTGTCGTCCAGGGCGTCGGGCTCCTCCAGGCCGCCCTCCGGCCCCGCCTCCTCCGCCGCCCCTGCACCCGAGAGGCGTAGCCAGCTCTCCGCCATGTCTGCGGGGACCCTCCGAGGGGGCGGTCAACATCCACGGCTGAGCCGGGGGTAGCCCGCCGCGCTCTCCGGCCCGCTGACTCCCGCGGCTCCAGTTACAGGGCCTCCCGGACGCGCGCTTCCATCCCGCGACCAGGGGGTGGCCTCCTCGGAAGACCAGTGTGGTTCCTGCGAAGGACCACGGCGGGAGCTGAGCACTTTCCCCACCCTCGATGGGAGAGTGTGTGCGAGGAGGGGGAGGCTCCTCTAAAATCGTCCCCGCTGCTGGGGAGGATCTTTGCTGGCCGAGGTCTGGGAAACAGAACCAGTGCCCTGGGGTCCGACCCCCGCTGTGTCCATCGCACTCTTTTCCTCTCCGAGGTTTTAGAGGAGACTTTCTTTACTGGGTATCCGAGGCTATCACCTTCTCCCCCAGAGCGGGAGATCAACCCTCTCACAACAAATGGAAACGGGGCGAGGGAGCCCAGGAGGGCAGAGGCCAGAGACGCGGAAGTCGTCTGATTTTTGAAAAGAGATATTAGGATGGGGGGTAACGGGGAAGGAAGGAAACAGGATAGGAATTACAGGGGGCGAGAAGTAAGTGTCCCCCAAACTCAGATGTCATTCCCGGGTCCACCAATTCACTCGAGGACGGATGGGAGAGCGGGCTGGTACAGACACCCTACCTTCCCGCGGCCAGCAGCCGTCTCAGTCCCTTACCTGGCTCAGAGCGCAGCCCGGGCCAAAGGAAGGTTCTGGAAGAAGTTCCTCCCACCCCCCGCGGCTCTCTGTACCCAGCTCGAGTGCCCCGCCAGCGCCCCTTGTCGCCCCCCCGCCCGACGGCGCCTCTCTGAGCGCTAGTGGCCCCCGGACCGGCATTAAGTAGCCGCTGCAAAGGCTTCTTCTGCTGCCATGGCGACGCTCCGCCCCCATAAACAGCTTCCGCTGCTGCTATTGGCCAGTGCGTTTCTAAGGAGATCGCGGGCTCTAGCCACTCTCTCTGGCGGTAACTCTCATCGAACTCCCTCCTCCTGCCGCCCTCTCCCGCGCCACCCAGCCCCCCTACCCGCCACCGCGTCCCGGCTCCGCGCATTCCCGCTCGAGGGCCCCGCGCAGGACTCGGAGAAGCGCGCGGCTCTCGCCCGAGGCCCCCGGCACGCCCGCGAGCCGTCCGCCGGGGCAGCCGCACTCCCGCCCTCGCTCCCTTCCTGTCCCGGCTGCTCCGGGCGTCCACGGCTCCGCGGACGGAGCCAGGGGCGCGGGGGCCAAGGCTGGGAAGGCTGGGAGCCGGCTCAGGCTCGGGAATCGTGTGCTTGGGGTTTCCTTTCCTCTCCTCTGGGCTCACGTTTCTGTGCCCTTTCCCACCCTCCCGACCCTGAGTGTCGTCTGGATGCCCGCGGGCAGGTCTGACTCTCCGATGCCACCTGCCGCTCAGGCCCGCAGCAATGGCTGCACCGATCCCAGGCACACCAAGGCGAGCAGGGTTTCCCGGTAAGCGGCTCCCTCCCCACCCCTGCATTCGGCAGGGTTCCCGGAAGCTGACTTTCCAGAGGCTTCTGCGGAAGCGCTCTCCCTCCTTTTCAGATAGCTGAGGGAACAAAGCCGGTGAGTGAAACTCACAGAGGTCACAGACTTGCGGAATTCTCCTAGCAGGGTCATTCGCCCCGTTCGTTTCACCAACTTTCTAGTGGCATGGACTAAAGGTAGGGGGACACCAGGGGCTGCTTCCTCCCCTCCTCCTGGTCTCTGGCCGGTCACCAGCTTTCCTGCTCTTCAATTATTGAGGAGCTGCAGTGACGGAAGTTCTCCGGTTTAAGGGTGAGGGTGGGGTGAGGGCTCCTTACTCAGGCCTCTGCCCAGAAGCTGGAGGGCAGGGAGTGGGAAGCCCGTGTCCTCAGGGTGGCCCCTCAACTCCCACCTCCCACGCGGAGCAGGTCTTTCCCTACCTTCTGCCTCCCCCACTCCTCCATCTGGAGATTCTCTTGAGGAAAAATGTTTGAGTGCTGGAGAAAGTCGGACAGAAACTTTCACAAATGAGCCAAGGACACAGTTAATAGCTCTCCTTCCCTTGTAAACAGTTTTATTCGTTTTAAAGAATCATGCAGCAGTCCATAAATATTGCATCCTTGATGTCCCCACTGTAGTGTGCCCACGAGTGTACTCCAGGGAGTGAGGGGTACACAGATGGCACAAACAGTACACACACACACACACACACACTTGCACACACCAGGTGTGCAGGTCCTAAAGCAAAGTGATCAACCAGCATGCCAAGATCAGGTGGACAGGACACCAACTCTCCCCAGGCCAGACAGCTCAAAGTGTGCGGCTCTATGCCCAGGAGATGCCCCAGTGCGGGCATAAACTCCAATGGGTGGAGCTGGGTGGGGAAGGAAGGAAGGCTCCATGCGGCCTTCAGCACACCGCCTGGAGGCCACAGGGACCTCAGGCCAGAGTTGGCAGAAGCCACAGGCCTCCAGAAGTCTGTGCCCTTGTGCGAGAGGCCAGGCCCCATCCCATCCTCACTGGGCCAACTGCTCATAACACAACTGTCTCCGGATGACGGACTGGGTGCGGCAGGGTCAGGAGCTGCCCTGTTCCCTGACCAAGCTGACTAAAGTCCAGCTCCTTTGGATGGGATGTTTCTGCTTGCCTCAGAGCCAAATGAGAACAAAGAGGTAGGAGAGACAGAGTGACAGAGACACAGAGGGATCGGTCTGAGAAACAGGAGCGAAAGGGCCATTTCTGACCTGGGCATGTCTTGATTATGGAACCAAGACCTTAAAGAATCTTTCTGAGCCTCTTGCTGGGAGAGGACCCAGCCTGTGCTGTAAGGAAGGACACAGACCCTCCAGGAGGGGTGATGATAATGGTTTTCTCTCAGGGCTCCTGGCCACTGTGGCAACTGTTTACCTACATCTCCTTCATCTTGGGTAACACCACACGGTGAATACTACCTGCCGAGAGGGGAGGGAGGCTGTGGGCTGCCACCCCCGGCTGAGGGAAGATCCCCATTCCCTGGGGCTTAAACTTCAAGGAAATCAGGCAGTGGGGTTATTGCTCTGACCTCAACCGCAGAAGGGGCCGTAAGGATGTTGGGGGAAAGGACAGGAGTCGGGCCTGAAGCAGCAGGGTTCAGAAGCCCCGGCAGGGCCTGAGAGAGGGGGACATGGGGACTCAAGACAGAAGCTTAGATTCAGGCATGACTCACATATCGTGCCTGTTGGGACAGCAGGCCTTCCCCCCACCAGGGCAGGACCTGAGCCATAACCACTAGGCCGGGCAAGGGTCACCACCGCCTGGCAGTGCAAAGAAGCCACACGGAAGGGGTGAAGGATTCCCTGGGCACGGGGCTCACTCTGGGGTGTTGGAGACGACCCTGAAAGGCTCTTCCAGGGTAACAGTTCCAAATACAAAGACAGGCCATCATGATGGTCAGAGCCTAAAGGCTCTGTGGTCTCTGGGCCTCATAAATTGCTGTATCTAACTCTGCTACCCTATCTCATGCTCCACTAAAAGACCACCTTTTCCCAAAGCCAACAGACACATCTGTGCAAGAACTGTGCGGAGCCACCGATGACAACACTGTCCAGAGAGGAGGAACTCCCAGCAGCTTACAGCCTGGCCTCGCTGTTTTAGACTTTTGTTGACATGCCTCGCACGGGGCTGAGGAGAGGTGGCGGGGGTGGGGGTGGGGGTGGTGCATATGATCTGAACCACAGAATCTCTGAACCTCTAAAGAGCCTGTGGGAGGAGTGCCTCCCCCTCCCCTGCTCAGGCTCGGCAGGTCTGGAAGGCAGGGAAGGGTAACACTTGGGGTGGGGAGGCCCCGGCTCCACGTGTGCCACTTCCTGTGGGACTCCTGGGCACCGACTTGGGAATCACTGTTCCACCCCTCTCTCAGCCTATTTCTTCAACTATTGACAAAAAGGGGTGGGGACAGGGACAACAGATAGAAGACCGCCACCGGACCGGGCTGTGGTGAGGGAATGTGAGAACATCCGACAGCTCCTAACACAGGTGCCTGGCACACAGAGGTGGTCAAAGATGTGTTTTCTGAAAGGTCACCTTAGGATGGAGTCCCAGGCCTTCATGAACACACCTGCTCCTAAATAACCCTCCCGAGGGTCATCACGTAACTGGGGGATTCTCAGATTCGAGGCCTCCTTCCTAAGCACACAGATGCACGAGGCACAGGGGACCAGCTCTGTGACCAGACCAGATGTTCCAGAGACCAGAAAATGCCAGAGGGGTGTTTGTAATGAAGCTGCCAAGACTCCAGGTCTTCTTGGTTGTGCCCCCTAAGGAGAAAAAGATGCACGAGGAGCAACCAGCCCATGGACCTGAAGGTCAAGGTGGGTACCTTCCAGAGAGTCTCTGCAAGAGGTCTCATGAGCTGCAGTTCACTGAGAGGCTTCGGCCCACGAGGAGAGAGGAGGCTGCCAGTTCCTTTTGGGTGGGTATGGGTGGGGATTACAGAGGACACCGGGCCGGGAGCGGGGGCAGGCGGACCTCCACGTCTAGCTTGCATCTGGGTGTAGAGAGTCTTCGAGGTTTCGCTGAGGATGCCGAGGAGGCCAGCAGTCCAGTGAGGCCGGGATGGAACGGGAGGGTGGCAGGGAGCCCAGGGACGGGCTGGGGCTCTCACACGGCCAAAGGACCCCACACGCAAGGCCTGTCCTGGGGGTCCTCCAGGCTGCCGGATGGTAAGCGCGGGCGCTGTGTGTGCCGACGACTGACAACGTTGTCATCGGCCTGCCAGGTGCCTGGAGAAGAGAAAAGAAGGGGATAGGAGCCAGACCCCCGGCCAGGTCCGGATGGCATCTCCAGCAGGACAGCCCAGGAGTTCGGCACGGAAGCTAGCAGGACGCGTGTTACCTGAGACCCCCATGTGTGTGCAGGCCACAGCGGAGGAGAGAGAATCGGGCGAGGTGGGCACCCAGGGGGCAGGGGGCTGTCCCTGTCCTAATGGGCTAGGGACAGTCACGGCCACCATGGACTGCAGAGAAGAACATACAGGGTATTTCTCGTTCTGTGCACCTGCCCTGCAATCCACTTCTGTGTCTTTGTTTTGAAGTTTGCCTAGATGTTATGGGGGGTCGGGCTGAGGTTTTCCCCAGGGCAGGAAGCAGTGGAGGGGAGTGAGAAGAGCGTGTTAATTTGGGCTCAGTGTCAGTGTTTGCCGTGGGAGCGGGAGGGGCAGGACGGGGCTGGTTGCTCAGCAGGGTGCCAGGGACAGAAAGGTGGGGGGGGGGCGCAGGTGTGACGGGCCCACCTGCTGCTCTTCATCTCTGTCCACCCGAGCAGCCCTCTGGGGTCACCATCAACCCCGGGAGACACCAGCCTGAGAGCCTTGGGGTCGCCCAGGCAGCACCCACAAAACTCTTGTCCTCCCCCAAACCCGCCACGGTTCCTGCACAAGGAGCACTGGCTGCCTGGTCTAGAAGCCTATTCTTGGCTCCTCCGTCCTTCGTGCTCTGTATTTCATCCGTCACTACCTCCTGTCTGTCATCAGAAAACCCGGGCTTCCCTCCTGGCTCATGACTGACGGACTGACCGCGTGCTCCTGGGCGGAAGCCTTGATTCACCCACCCATCGAATGGGAGCAGAGTGTTCTCCTCACGGGGCTGCTGGGACGACAAAACAAGGTGACATGGGAGTGTGCTGAGCAGGGCGTGCCTTGTCCAGGCTGCCCTCTTCTCTCCCCGGGGTCTCCCCTCAACTCTCGTGCTGGCCCCGACTGCCTTTTCCCAGTGGCGCCCTCCAGTGCAGTGCGAAGCTCCCTGTAACACAGAGGCTCCCGGGGAAGACCTGACTCCACGGGGCCCACCGGACCTCCAGGCTGCACCCCCCAGGTGGTGCCCCCAGCCTGACTGCGGCCACAGTGTGCACCTCAGACGGCGAGGGAACCGCCAGGCCCTTGGCCTCCTC